CACAACAGAACATTGTCTGATATAATGCTAGAAAATAAGCCTCCTATGTTGGAAGGCACTACACAATAGCTGCAACAATGGACTCAAACAAGCCAATGATCATGAAGATGGTGCAAGACTGGGCAACATTTCATTCTGTTAAACCTAAGGTTGCCATGAGTTTGAGCCGACTCCACAGGAACAAGAAAAACAACAGCATCTATTGTTAACATGTTTTCTAGTCATTCTAGAATAGATCCCAATGCCCCCAGCATTATTTATGCCTCTGGGAAAAAGAGCTCAGATACCAAAATGTATCCTTATCCCATTTCCTCTTGAGCCCTTAGAAGAGACAATACTGTTCCATGAGGTAAGCCAAACCAAAACTCATCAGATTTCTTTTCATTGTCCCTGAAGAATAATTTGTCTTGAAATAAATTTAGACTTAAAAAGAATTGACTCGTAAAAGTAATTCTATCCCTTGCCTTCCGTCTTAGCTGCTCTTGTTCCAGGCTCAGCCAAGGAAGGATATTGTTTGACTGCAGTTTCTTGCTCACCCATAACCCTCTTGTGTTTCTAGTTGAAATGGAATGTGAACCCATTCCTACCTCTGCTCTTGCTTCCTAATCCAATAATCACCTGACACCGACTACTGGGTCTCTCATGAGAGTGGTCAGACAGAAAGTTAATATCTACGCATTAAGGGAAAATCCCTGCTCCTATCCCAACAGATAATCTCAAAGCAGTCATTCTTTCCAACGTTCCATTTTCTTTGAGCAATCCAACTTGTTCTTTCCAAAATTCTTGCCTTTCAGAATCTAAGCAGTGAAAACAATTGTCATGGTAATAAGGCATGGTAATGCATACTCCAGAGCATAAATCGACCTATGTGAACACATCAATGCTACTGAGAAGCAAAGGGAGAAAATGTGATCCAAAAAACAGGGCAAATACAGGAACAAACGGCCGTCAAAACACACGGATCGTCTGGCTCTGGAAATTTAGTTGAAGGAGAGAATTCAAGTGAAGGAGAAAATGTAGGAAAATATCCTTTTGCGATATGATATGTGCTGAAGATTGAGATGGCGCTGAAGTATGACTGAGTAAATTATCGCCTATTAAAAATGATCATTACGAAGTTTGAGTAACAGCATGAAAAATGTTACAGATTTTTTTTTAAGTTAAAAATAACACACAATTGCATATGTAATGTGATTGCAAATGTACAAAAAAAACCTATTTGCCTAAGGGCAGTGGAATTGTGGATCGTGTTTTAAAAGGTGCTTAGATACTATAATATTGTCATTACGATAAATAAAACTCAGAGGAAAATAAATGATGAGTCATTGGCTGACAACTGTGACTATGGAATAAGCCTCCTTAACAGTGACAATGTCAGGTCAGGCACTGAAATGCAAGCCCAGAGGCTAGGTTCACTTCCTTCATCCCAGTTTATTTATTAATTCTGAACTTGCAGAAATTAATCTCATCAGCAAATTACAGTCAGATTTTCTCATGATTGCCAATAGGTAATTAGTAAAGACTCAATGATGCCAAGAACTGGAATTCAAGAGAACAGTATAGGTGTGTGTGTGGGGTGGGGGGGGGGCACCAGGGGTCTTAGCTGACCAGCAGAGCAATCAGTAGTCATCTAATGTTAAAGTGTTGGGGCACTTATGCTCTTGGCTTCTCAATGCTGAAGATGTTAGAGGAACTTTCCAATTTTTAGCTTGTATGTAGAAGGTGCCCGAGATCCTACTGATTCTCCAGAGGCCCTGCCTAGCCCCCAATCTCTGCATGTCTGCTGTCCACGTGGCTGGAGCCACATGAAGACCCCCACAGATACAGCCCTGGGCTGGGCTGGGGAGTTTCAGGGGCAGCCCACCTCTCTTGGGACTGCCATTAAGTCACGCTTGTTACTGACCCCAAGCTCCGTTCTAAGAAATGGGCTTCTGTGTCATTCTCAGGCTGCAGACTGGGTCATCCTTCACTTGGGCTCCTGTTTTCAAGCAGTCCCTTATTTGGGGAACTGGCTAGGGTTTCAGTCCTTCTTCAGAGTCTGGAAGGTTCACACCCTATACCCCAGGGCTGTGGCTGGGACCCTATTACTTGTCAAAATCCTTGCTTGTTGCTCACTGTTTGTCCAGACTTCATCCTCCCAGGCTATATCAGTCCACCAGCCACTATCTCGTCAGGAAATATGAATCCAAGATGGCAGCCATCTGCCTACATTGCATTGTTTTGACTGCACCTTTGTCTACTCCATTTAACCTGCCTGGTGGATCCTTCTCTGTTCCTGTACAGGGGGAGAGTGTTCTTCTAAGGTTTGTACCTGCCAAGTAGGACTTGTGTCTACAGCAAGCCCAGCCTCCTGTCCACATTCCAATTTTCTTCCCTCCCATTGCCTATCACCAGCTACCTCTTTGCAACTTTCCTGCCTCTGTCCAAACCCTCTGAACACCAGACCTGAGACACAGCGTCTAGAAAAGCACATGTCTAACTGCACTTACAGCCAGAGCGAGTTCCTTCCTTGCGTGATGACACCAGTGAATTTGGTCAGTCGCCTGGCATCCACTTCAATCCACTGATGGAGGTCGTTCCTTCCCGCGCACCACGCCCCGTCGTAAAAGTCATTTTCATTAATGCCTGCCTGGAAAGAAGAGAAGGGTGTTCTTCAGAAAGACCCTGAACTGAAGAAAATTAAGACAGATCTTTTCATGAGACTGAGATGGAGGAAGGGAAGGTAGGTGAAGAGAACAAGGGAGACAATTTAAAAAAAAAAAAATCGTTGTGCCCCTAACTCCTTATTCTAAATCATAACAGGGAATTGCTCAGTATTAACAATTTGGAAATATTTCAATATGATGTGTCCTCTTCTTGCCCAGTGTGAAAAATGAAATTTAATGAGTTCTTCCATTACTCATTCATCCAACAGACAGATACTAAGTGTCTCCTACGCATCAGCCTACACACGCCAGGTGCTGGGATATGAGGTAAATCGTTCTCTCCCAGAATGTCAGCATCCAGGCAGAAGACAGACATGAAAATGGATGAATTAGAACACAGTCGGGCACGTGCTGTTTCAGGGACATGAGCAAACTGCTATGAAAGCATTTAAGGACAGCACAACTAACTTGGTCTAACTTTGGGAAGACCATGCACCCAAAGCCCAAGGCAGAAATGATATAGGAGCTGGGCATTGAAGAGTACGTTTATCTAGTCAATACTTATTCATTAGGCTTTTAAGTCATTTGATGCGTTGACTATCAGCTACTGTTACTACCCAAAGATTCTCAGGATCTGAATTTTTTTTTTAATCTGAATTTAGGTGACGTTCTGGAATTTTCTCTAACTTATCTCCATTTGAAGGGAGAATTCCCTGACCTCAGAACAAAATATGAAGGCAGCTGAAGCTTCTTGCTTCACTAAGACTGTTTCCGCATTAACCTCACTTTTCCAAGCCTATTTCACAAGGACATAATCAAATGAAGAAAAGTCTGGGTGATATGCTAAAGATAAAAATGATAGGCCAACTGACCTTCCCTGTCTCTGAGCACTTCCAGCTCAAATTCCGGGGACAGTCTTACTTTTAATAGGCAATGGGGATGTGAAATTCACAGTCCGGCTACAGTGGATGGATAACTTGGCCAACGGTTCCATAGTGGAGTACTATTCATCACTGCATCAGCGACCATCACCCTGTACGTGACCAAACCACAGTGTGCTCCCAGTTCACTCCTGAAACAATCCTGAAGGAGCTTTGAGAGGAAATGCTGGGATACCAACATAACACGGTCTTCTAAAAACACTATCACCTCAAATGCAAGTGGATAAGAAAGCTCTCCATGAGTCAAGACTCTCTAAAACGCAAGTTCTTGATTAGTCAGCATCTCAGTGTCCGGGTGGCTAAGTGGCATCTGTAACAAGGACCTGGAGATGCTGCAAGATAACCTTCCGGAATCATAAAAGAAAGATTAAATTTTGTGAGTGTGTATCACTGGCCCTTAACTGATCTTCAGCGTATGTTTAAGTCTAATTCTTAAAAAGTGATGATGACTCTCTTTAAGCATAAGGTCTCATTTCCCAACTCTGCCAGACACTGTAACAGTTTGAAAGCGATAATAACATAATCACTCCGTTCCTTCATTTGAAGGCTGTTCTCCTAATGATAGAGACCTGCGACATATTAATGACCTACGATTTAACGCCTCATCTTTTTTCAAAAAATCACAACACTCAGGTTGTGTTGCAGTTCCTCTTTTCTTGTAAATATTCCATGACACTGGTGTTTAGAACAGTTGCATCGATTGAGTAAAACTAACATTCACTGTGCATTTATTACATTTCAAGTAATGAGCTAAGCAACAGGAATGTACAGGTGGAAAATGTACATCCCTGTCCTCTTAGGGCTTAGAATCGGACTGACAGGCTGAGGTCTGCCCATGGGACTTTGTCTTGGCATCTTTTTTTTTTTTTTTAACAGCTTTATTAACATATAGTCCACATGCCAGCAACATAATGATAAACAGAGAAGACACTGAAGTTACCAGGTATTTCATT